AAAAAGGAGCTCGTGTAGAAAGGTCAACGATTAAAGCTCATCTTTTGGTAGAGATGTTTGGTAACACCTTTCATCCCAATAATAAGGGAACTTCAGTTCGGCAGCTGTATGAGGCATATACCAATCATTATATATGAACCTGAAAATCAACATTTTATATCATGATCAAGGCGTTTGAGTTCAAATCTATACTTATATAATAAGGTGTACCATTTACGAAATTTAGTAAGTTGAAAAGTCAATGCAATAAATGCATTACTATTTTGAGCAACATAATAATATCATATCTATACTAATATAAAAGGAGATTTTATTTACTACATTTACTATCCAGAAAAGTCAACTGCATTAAATGCCATTATTATTTTGGTATTATAATATTTTATTTATTTAATTGATTTATTTATTTGTTTTAATCTAAAAAGGTAAGTATAATAAAAAGATTTTAATAATAAAAAAATCAAATACCAAATAAAAATGTATACTTTGACTTATTTGATTATGTTTGGTATTTGATTATATCAAATATATTCCTATTTAGTATATACATTAAATACTTACTAAAGTATTTATTTGTTTTATTTGTCAAAGTTAAGTATAGATTTGTTTATATTATCAAATCATAAAAAAAATATTAAATCCATATTGTAAAAAAAAAAATCATATAATTTTATAACAATTCTACTACACTATTTAACAATATTTCTTTTTTATTATATAATAAAATAATAATTAAATATTATATGGTGAACAACAATAAGTAAAATTGTTACTTTCTCTTATATCAAGGGATAAATTTATATGCTAAAATTAAATTTTTATTAGTATAAATTTTTTAATGAGATAATATATTAATTATTTTACAAGCTAGCCCTAACATGCTCATATTTAATGTTTTAAAAGATGTAGAAAAAAACTTATAATAACTCTATTGTTTTTTAGACTTAAACGTTGATTAAAAGAGGTAAAAATTCCTAATTTTTTAGACTTAAACGTTGATTAACACCATAGATTGAGAGTCTATATTTAGTAAAATTCCTAATTGTAATAAAAAAATTAATTTTTGCTATATTTTAGAATATCTTTAAATTCATTATAAAAAAAAAAAAAAAAAAACTACAATGAAAAAAGCAAGTCAACTATATATCGATTTGTTGTACTCCTCAAATCACATTCACAATTTAACTACAAGGAAAGGAAACTCATTGATTAAAATATTATTTTGTCAGTAGTCTTAATGTACAAGAGACTTTAAGACTCCACTTGAATATTATAAAACTTTTATTGAACATTGTACAATTTTCTTGCGTATTATAAACTTTTATTGAATATTGCATCTTATAATATAATATTCTCTAAATAAATATATCCCGTGCTTCGCACGGGTCACGTATAGACATGTCAAAACGGGCCAAGGCCCGCGGGCCGGCCCGCCCCGCCCCGCCAAAATGGTGGGCCGGGCTACACTTTTGAAGGCCCGCCAAGGAGCGGGCCTAAACGGGCCAGCCCGAGTGGGCCGCGGGCTTTGGCGGGGCGGGCCAAGCGGGCCGCGGGCTGGCCCGCCACAAATTGAAAAAAAAAATAAAAAAATGAAGTCCAATTAATTTATCACATTTACATCAATTGGAGCAATTGGATGGCAGATACTATATCAAATTAGGATCAAATTCATTTTTGTCAATACAAGGGCACACAGGAACAATTAAATTGGTAATCTGCCTTCTTCTGCTTCTATATCCGTCACCCAACCACATCCGTGCGAGTGCCGGATCTGTTGCGACCTGGACGACTGCAACAAATGCCACCATTGCCTTCGATATGTCTCCGCCTCTAGATCTGTTGACTGCCGCCGTAGATCTGCCACCACTCGACTGCTTTTATTCCCGATGCTGCTCCCGTTAGACCATCGCTCGTACATCTCCGACGCCGCCATCGGTCCGCCTCCTCGCGAACATGTCCTTGCCGCAGATCTATTTATGAAGCCGAATTGCGAGACTTACGGGTATTTGGTTTATGGGTTCTATAAACCTGTAGGGAAGGAAAATTAGATGTAGCCTTTTTTTTTTTGGTTCTTGTCAATCGATTCCATTGAATTATTTGAGATTTGACAGTGTACTTGATATGATGACGGAGCTTTCTAATATGTGTCGATGAAGTATAGAATTTGTTTGGGATGCATTTTGAGTGCTTGAAAAAAAAAATATAGATAAAAAAATAAAAAATAAAAAAAAACTTGAGAGTTCACAGGACAAATCGAATGGATTCTGCTCCTCTTACTAGTCGATTCATTTTGACAGGTAATGAGCATTGGGAAACTACTGTAGGAAACTTGGATGACCTCCAATGTTCACACCTACAGAATGTTGTCCTTTTGATTCAATCTTGTTGGGAAAAAGTTACTCTCCAAATAAACACAAAAAAAAAAAAAAAAGAAAAAGAAAAAGGCAATCCAATGAAGAAAAAGGTTACTTACACTTTGACTGGTGGTCGAGATATCATAACCAGAACTTGCAAATCCTCATGTTCATTCGTATTCCAAACCTAGTAGAACGATAGGAAACGAGTATGGAAAGAAATTTTAACATTTAGTTACCACAATAAATTTCGGAGGTCTTACTTATTCCAAGGGATTTGAATTAAGGAAGTAAATAGCTATCTGATAAACTATTAGTCGACAAAAAAGTAATGCAAAATATGTTGAACAATAAATCTCTCATCAATCATATGTGCAAATTATACTTTGATATCCAGAAAATGAACTTCTATACAGGTGATGTTACCCACAGCAAACACAGCTCCACCACATAATGTACCATTCAAAAATTGCAAAACAATATACGCAGCAATATATTTTCTGCCTTTTCGTTTTCTCTTTATTCAACTTGGAATGCTGTACAACTCATATGTGTAATCCTTAGGATCAATCAGTAACAGAAGCATCCATGCTGGTTTAACAAGACACACATATTACTTTATTAATCCCAACTGATTACCTGATGAGCATCATTGATAGGGATGTGAAACGTGCTGTTAGGGAAAATAGGAAACTCCTGAGGACTGCCAGGATAATTTTTATGCGAATTAGAGGCAAGATAAAGAGTTCCACTCCCTTTGAGAACCACAAATATTTCCTCACACGAGTGCCTATGAATTGGTGTATGAACGCCAGGAGCAAATGTCTGAAGCCATACCTCTACCTACGAAAATCCAAATCCACTCAATGATGAAAAATAATAAAAACCAATATACCAAGAGTGTTTGCATAGTTAAAACACTGATGGTCAGCTCTTGCTGACATTTGTATTTTGATTAAAAAAATTATATATTCACATACTGATTTTTGCCACTGTTCTACAAAATCTAAGGAAAATCTAAATGCTGTATGGTGAATTAGTTGCTATTGGTTGCATTTATACAAACGAATGAATCAGTTTTAAGATAAACTCAGCAAACACTCAATAAATCGTTCAACATTGAGCTTCGACTGGCAAACAATCCGTTCTCAAATCTCAAATATCTTCAGATTAGCCTACAATAAAACCACTTCATTCAAAAGCACAATATTCTGCAGAACATAACTAAGAAAAATGAGCGCTACAAAAATACAAACCATGCAGACACTCAGCCAACCCAGGAAAACAAATGAATAGAACTGTAGTTTTTTTTCACCTCTTTAAGACCGTGCATTAATGAACCAGCAATGGTGATGTGAGATAAACCCTGTCGGCCATAGTTATCCTGATCCATCTCACGGATATTCCTAACTACAGGCACATCTGCAGTTCAATTCACAGATAAATAACAAAGATTATCTCGCGATTGTTAAAAAAAATTCGAGCCACTTGAAATTTTTTATGCCCCCAATGTGTTTGTTACAATGGGTCAAATAAAGTTTCTTGCCTTTTTCTGCACAGAGTGAAGAGGAAGAAGCTTCTGCCATGGCAGAAAGTAAAAGAGCAATCAAGAAGGAAAGCCACCGAAAATCCATGAGATCGCCACACAACTGTGCAAATGTTGTGCATATTTTGCGGCACTGTGAAATTTAACGGTAAGGCAGGACGGAAGAGTAGCTTCACGAACCATCAATTGGTTGGATACTTGGCATCTTCCAAATTAAAGTATGGATGTCTAATTCATAAAAGTGTAATTAACACCGTTAATAGAATTATTTCACTTACCCGTCAAAATCAGTTACAAATTACAAAAAATATTATTTTCTTTTTTTTTCTTTTTTATTTATTTTTTTATTCTTTTTTTTTTTTTTGTTAATATTATATTTTTTTTCAAATTCCTTTATGTTATACATACTTAACAATGATTTATAAAAAAAAATTAGATTCCAAATTACAAAATCAAATAATGAACAAATAAAACTAAAAATATCCAATCAACTTTTCAATATGTATCTCCACCTGCAAAAAAAACAAACATATTTAATTATATAAATTATTAATGTAGAATAAATAAGACATAGAATTCCGTTCCTAATTATAGGCACTGTTAATACCAAAACCGAATTCTGTAGATTAAGTACGTTTCGAGTGGATTTAAGAAGATTTTAAAATTAATTACTAGAAGACCGAGATGCGATGGATCCCCGGTATCATCTCGATACCTAATCGGCATCTCGATACTACCACCTCGGTTTCCAAGACAAAAAGCAGGCTCCCAGATCGCCCCAACATTGAATAAATGACCTCGGGATTGGCATCTCGGTTCTAAAAGGGTTCTATGGGAAAGACGTCGCAGGCTACAAACCTGTGGGACAACTGATGTCCAGAGAAATCCGACCTCGTCCCGACAGAAGTGACGACTGTCACTCAGTAAGAGGGTCACACATGCTTTCATCATTACCTAAAAAGTGTGCTAACGTTATAGCCGCCCCTAAACCATCAAATCTGCATTAAATACAGCCGACTTCTCTTGGAAGGTGTGCCAGATATAACTATAAATAGCAGCATTAAAATCGATACGAGGATCCAGGACGAACACATTAAATTCACGCATTTATTACCTGGCTCCCTCCGTTTCCGACCTCCTGTATTAAAAAACCGACTTGCTCGAAATTGTAATCCACCTCATATCAGTAAAAATCATATTTTCTTTGATTTTCGTTGTGTTTTAAGTCTTAATTACGTTGATTAAATCCGTTTATCAACAAGCACTTTATTACAAGCTGGAAATATAGTAAGACGACTTGCCAGTAACAATAAAAGAAGAGGACGAGATCCAGCTTTTTAGGCGGCAACGACTAAGTATGGTAAACCCGACCATAATCTATATGGAATTAGGGGTGAAGTGGTTCAGATATATCCTATAAGGTCGATTAAGTCCTAGGAGGTTGTCATGAAGGGGAAATTTGAGGCCGACATAGCCTGATCTACAAAAAAGGAATAAAAGTTTGGTCGAATGACATGCTGATTTTGAGAGCTCGGAGTTACCGGGTTTGGGGGAGCTCTCATTCATTAATGAATTGAAGTAAATGAGATGATTGTCAATATAGTTAAATGATAAGGCTTAACAAGTTTGCCCAGGTTGGGCACAACATTAGCTTTTTCACTCCTCAACCACAGTGATCTTGTCAGAAGTTTAAAAGGTAAGGAGAACGACTGGAATAGAGATTGTTCTTTCGAGAAGATTGGAATAATCGTCTACTATGGAATCAATATGGGCTTGAGAGGATGAGGTTGAAGAGGTAGTTTGACTGGAATTTGACATTATCGTCGGAATCGAGTTGTAGCAGTAGAGGAAAAAGGGGAAAGGGAAAATGATTGCGAGAAATGCCTAGAAAAATAAAAGATAAAAAAAAGAATAAAAAGAGGAAAAAAATAAGAGGATAATGAACATACCCATGATTGATTGACGGAAATGTCGTGGGTTTTGTTGGAGAAGAAGAGAGCTCGCTGGAGGAGTCGGTCATAAATCTGGTAGTGAATTCGTCGAAATTATTTTTGTAGAGGAGGGTCCGAGAATGCTGAAAATAATGAAAAAGGTTTTTTAGAAGTGAAATGGGGCTTTTATAGGTGAGAGAAGATATCCTAGTAGCTACTCGAGTCGATTCAACCATTGGATTAACAAATGATCGAGGGACCAAGATTATGGGCCAGAAACTGATAAGACACCCCACGTGGACAGCTGATTCGCGACTCACGGTCCAAGCGTGTACGATAGACGAGACATTTCCGACGTTCCACGCCCCGCCGAGGTCGAGTGACAATGCATTTAATGTTGATAGGGGATGGATAGTATTTCAGTACAAGTCTCAGTAGCTCGTATTGAAATGGAGGGCTAGATGATATAGCACCCAGAGTAGCTCGATCAATTGATTTGAGTGGTTATCTCGGGTATGGCCGGTTCGAGGGAGCTTCAACTTGGTATCAATGTTTGACCTCTTCACGGAGCTCGTTTAGGCAGCTCAGGGTACGGGTTGAGATTGGACAGATGAAGGGACCTCATGACCCAAAGGTCGTGAGAGCAAAACGTCGTGGTTGTGACCTGGTAAGAGTTTATGGCAGGTAGGTCACGAGGTCACTAGGACGATCTGGGGACTTAAGAGTTTTATGGTAAGAGGGGATAGGATCCTGCTAAGGATGAAAAGTTTATCTCACTAAGGAGCCTAATATTCGAGAGACGTGTTAAGCTAGGAAAAAAAATATTTCTTAGCAAGGATTCTACTTGGGCAGCAAGACTCCCTTGGGTATATAAAGAGTGATCAATTGTTACTTTTTCATATCACATAATTACGCTTACAACATACAATTTTCGATATTCTCACGAGCGAGTACTGACTTGAGTGTCAAAAGTTTTTCCTCCGAGACTCTCCCCAGCATATTGCAAGTCAACGTAGGTCAAAGGTGAAGGACTGTTCATATTAGTGTCGGTTTAACCCGATTCAAGAGGTAATGCATATTAGTGGGTATTTCAGGAGTTATTTTTTAGTAGGTTGCGGAGTTCATGTTTAGTGAAATTTTAAAAACCATACAAACTGTTGTATAATCATATTGGTGCGTAGATAATGAAGCACATACAAATTAAATGAGAATTGAACCCCTCAACACCCGACTTCTGTTATCAAACGAAATTTGTGTCTGTACATATTTTTTGTCTTACAAGTAGAAAACCTTCTACGATGCCTAATCTATACCCTATTTGATAACTCTCACGGCGACTTCCGTCGACCTCCCAACGCTTACCCCAACAAATCTTCGGTGCCTCTGCCTGAACATGCTCAAACCTAGCACAAATTGAAGATTCTTTCTCCAAAGACTCTTAAAAAATGAATGATAACCCTGTTGCAGTTGTTTGAACACCCAAACAGAACAAAAATATTCTAGTGTTAAGAAAATCAAGAGTACCTTCCTTCTCAAATAAAACACATTATGATGGACATTTAGTTCTCTTTAGAATCATCACATGATTCCATAAGCGACCTAATCCTATTTGTAAAGGGCTACACAACTTATTCTCTAAAGAATAAGAAATAATTACGCTCTTAATAAGACTCTTTTCATAAGTTAAAGATTTTCTTCATTTGTATGTTCATTTGGTCTACTTGATATGAGTTTTGATCTAACTTATTTTATAAAGAAATATGTAGTAATCCATGAAAAACAAATATTAAGGGGGGGATTGTTTATAAATTGTACAGTAAAAAAATCAATCAAAACTCAAATTTAACTCAATTTTAATTCAACTCCACTATCTCCAATATTATCAATATAATTAAATAATATCAACTAATCATTCTTACACATCACATCAACTTTAATTAACTATTCATCCACTCACATAATTTTAACTAACCATCATTTCCAATCATTTTCTCCTACCTTTACATCAAATCAACTTTAATTATTTAATTTTAAATATTATTTTAATATATTCACTAACAACTAGCCATACCACATTTTTTCAAACTTAACTATAATTAAAAAAAATTAATTTTTTACTAGTTGAATTCATATTCAATCACCCCTTAAGTATTCCATGGGTTTCGCTAAATAATGACAATATAAAAATAGAAAAAAAATACCGTCACAAATATTAATAAAAATATTCTTTACTTTTATTACTCTATACATAACACGGGTAAAATCATTGAAAAAAATATGCTAGTTTTAGATTTGATGCACAAATTCAACCGTATAAGAAACGTCCGTCTCACATACACAACACAGTAGTTTCTGCGGTTCTGCTTAAAACTGTAAAATAATTGAATTCATTCATTAAATCATAATTCCCAAACCCCGATTTTTTTACATACCACATTTCCTATAATTAGGAAGTAATCTTGATCAGCTGGATTTTGAATTTCAATTATACTAGAGACCAAGCATTAATAATTTATCAGACAACAGAACCCTGTTTCGGGTTCTTGCGGGCAAATTTTCTAAATTATTTACAGATGTATTTAATTCGTTGTCAACGCTAGTTTTCTGATTAGATGCGTTTGTATGGGTTTGCTTGTTTCTGCTATATTGGGTAGTGGAAAAAGACGAACATGGGAAGGATTTGTAGTGGGTTTTTGTTGCCGCTGTTACTTCTTACAGGTATATTCACATTTGAGATTTTCTATAGTATTTTCGTGCTGATTGTTGTTAAATGATGTTTCTTTATGGTTACCGCTCCAGTATGTTTTTTCTTTGTGTGTATCCTGCTTGTGTGTATGCCTCAGAGGTGCTTTAGTTACTAACTGTATGTTCTATTTCCACCAAATTTATTCAAGATTCTGATTATTAGTTGAACTTCAGTCTTTTCTTGGGTTATAAATCTTATTTAGTAAACATCCCTTACTTTTTCCTTCAAGATTCATTTTTTTTTCTGAGTGATTTTCATCCAAGATTTTAGCTTCACTCACGCAGAGCGTGTTCAAGATATCTTTGCTTGCATTTTATATCTCAAGATAGCTTTATAGTATGCTCGGTCGAGAAAGTCGGAAAAACTGTGGAGGTCGTGTAATATATAGTTTGTTAGCTCATTTATAGTTTT